TATATATATTATATGTGTGGTGTGTATATATATCCCGAACAAATAATGCGCGGGTTGATTTGGGAGATTTTGTTTGCTGATACGTGTAAGCTAGAAACACACGTTGTGCAGGGATGATATAGCTGCATTATCATCTTTTCGTTGTGCACATTAATAGGCCTATCATCTTTTCGTTGTGCACATTAATAGGCCTATCATCTTTTCGTTGGGCAAGAGCAATTAAGTTTTTGGAAAAAACAAAACAAAACAAAAAAACGTAACCTTAATGTAGATCTATGTTCTAGCTTTCGGTCAATTTTGATAGCAATTAAATCATAAACCAGAAAGTTGTTAACATTTCTTTGAACGAATGTTTCTGCTGGTCAGCTGGTATGAGAGGCTAAAGTGCATCTACCTTCAGCACTTCCTTGTTCCTAGATGAATTCGATTTAAAAAAAGAAAAAAAAGAAAAACGTCAGTGAACTTTCAGAGGTACAAAACTTTGTAAGTATAAAATATAATGTGGGAGTAGGCCCTACTCTGCCGCAAGCCTGAGGGAAATTACAAAAATCTTTGTATACTGGCTTTTGTTCTTACCCCACCCCCCTCTCTCCTTTATCTCTCTCTCTCTCTCTCTTTCTTCTCTCTCTCCATCTCTCTCTCTCTCCCTCCCTCTCGTCTCTCTCTCTCCCTCCCTCTCGTCTCTCTCTCTCTCTCTCGAACTCACATGTACACATCGAAAAATATAATAAAAAATGCTCATACACTTATAGTTACACCTACATACTTATTTTATTTATTTTCTCCTTTTAAGTATCGTTTCTTCTTCTTCTTCTTCTTCTTCTTCTTCTTCTTCTTCTTCTTCTTCTACTTCCTCTCAAAATGCTGTTGTACCGGCGAGCCTTTTCTCTCGACGAGTTTCTTTCGTAAAAGCTGTTTTCAAGTGTCCTTATACCCACTTCTTCTCAAAATTATTATAGGCTTACTTGTTAGTGTGGGACTTTTACCAAGGACAATGAGTTTCTTTCATATTGGTTGTGTTCTTTTTCTTCCTCCTATCTTATCGAACCCCTCCTTCTTTTTCTAAAATTACTGTAGCCTACGTTAGTGGGAACTTTTACCACCAACGATCAACGAGTTTCTTTCGTAAAAATGTAAAAGCCGCTCTCAAGTATTTCTTCTTCTTCTTCTTCAAATAGTCCAGCTGTTGGTGTGGGAACTTTTACGATAAACGATGAGTTTCTATAGTTAGTTTAAAAAAAAACCCGTTTTCAAATGTTTCCAAAGACGACGATGCCATCCCTCGAAATAAAATATTACACTACATGTATAGTATAGCGCATGTGCATGTTGCATGGAAATGCATATAATCATGTCGCGTCAAGACACGTCGACGGGTAACTCTGATGTGCTTTGCTTGCATTTTGTGGATTTCGTCATTGCACAGAACAATGGACAGCGCATTATTGTTGTGGTTAGCCTAGCCTATAAACAAAGTTAACAAGTAGGCTAGGTCTAGGATAGGCGAGGCTGAGCTGGTTGTTCTGTACTTTGCCCCGGAAGCAGCCACGAAGTGAACGTATTCGTTTTTCTGACAACCGACACGATTCACTCCCCTTGATTTCTCTTGCTATCCACTTCACACAATAAAACAAGCCTTGGCCTATCCTTCCACTTCCAGCAGAGCATCTTCAAGACTGTCCCTACTCACCCCTACCCGCCAGCGAACGAACGTGAAGCTATTCTTAGTCGAGGTAACGCGTCTTCTCACTGCTCACTTCGAGGCTGCCACGAGTACGATTTCGTTTCCTACCCGTCGGCAACTTTCAGAACTTTTGTGAGGACGTGGAAGTTAGCCCAGTGCCACTGTTCTCATTCTTGCTTCTGGCACCAACCTGCACACAAGTCTCTACAACTGGTAAGAAGTTTTTTTCTTGATGTAGAGTCTAGATACTTTCTCATGTTCTTTAGCAATAATAATACTTAATAATAATCAATAATGTTAATAATTTAGTGGTACAATTTAGTATTTAATCGGTTCAAAGTTTTCATCCAAATAATAAAGGCGAGTTGAATTGAAATCTTATTTTTGTTAGAAAGTTCCAGCAGAGAAAATTCAGGTTGTCAGCAAAACAAAGATGAATAGTGTTCTCAGAGGTGGAGATCACTGTATATTTAATTTTATTGCATTATTTGCTTACATTGGCTTCTTTAAATTCATTTAGACTAAATGATTTATAAAACTAGGTCTAGACAGTAGGCTGTTCAGTGGAACTTGTCGAAGATGGCCACCCATTGTCGAGGAGAAAAGAGGTTGCAGTTGTCTTGCAGGTGGACATCTTGAGTGTCTTTAGATAGAAAAAAAATGCAAGAGAGAAAGTGGTTGTTTAGACTCTAGATCGACAATCTAGATATATAGATCTGTAGTGATGTCTTGGAGGTGGTTATTTTATTTATTTATTTTTTTGGTACGAGTTTTTTAATGTGCTCGCAACTGCGTAAGGCGTAAGGTCATATTAGATCTAGATCTATGAGTGCGCTGGACACATTTTTAAGTTTGTTGGAAATTTTGAATTTTGCCCGGGTGGCGACCAAAACCTGATTTTATCGATTTTAGACCATCAAGGGATCTTAAACGTGGGCAACTTGCACACAGAACCTCCAAGATTTATCGCCCTTGTCAGAGAAGGCTTTTAAATGTTGTAGATATCTTTCCTACCAGAAGATCAGGGGTATGGCTGAAAGACAGCAGTAAGAAGGAGCTAGGGAGTAGCAGTAGAAAGGCTTCAGAAAGAAACAGGAGCCCAGGGGTAAAGGGGGAGAAAGTGGGGGCGGAAGTAGGTAACAGAACATTGTTCTAGAGAGCAGGAAAGGATGTAAAAGGAGACAATTTTAGAGAAGAAAGAGATCCGTCGCTATCGGGATTCAAACCCGGGACCTATTGGATGAGAGGCGAACACTTTAACTTCTAGGTCATGAGAGTCCCTAGTGGTTGTTAAAGCAGGTTTGACCGTCATGTTGATATATATAAGCTGTATAGAGTTTTATGCACTTAAAAAGATTACTATCTGCACATTTGAGTATATAGTTGATTATTTTTTTGCCATTTCCTTCCAGATTAAAAAAAACAACTTCACCCAAGCACTGAAAGAAGATGACTTCTGTTGCTGTACTGTTCTTAGCTGTGGCTGTGTCCACGACAGTCCTGGCTGACCAAAGGGTGAGTTTTGTAATCATAATGTGATTTAATGTGTCAGATCTCGTACATAAAAAGAGTTACTATCCCTGAAGCTTCTGAGAGGGGGAAGTGTGATGATGATGGATTACGCATATTGTGAAGATTATTTTAAAAATTATATTCTCACTTTTGTCCAGGAAATTCAGTGCTTTTTGCGTTCCCGTGAGCCCAGTCTTACACTTGAAGTTAAAAGAAAAGGGATGTTTGGGCTTATTGTGTCAAACAGCGCTGTCATAAAAATTCAGCATTTCTTCTTGGTTGATGTGATCTGCAACCAAGACAATTGGGTTTTGCGTTTGCCAGTGCTTCCACTCTTCCGTATTTTTACGGAAATCCGTACTTTCTGCCATTTCCGTACTTGTTCCTCCATCATTATCAACTCCCTCTGTAAAAAACTGCGACAGCGAAGGACTGGAGAAATTGCGTAGCAAAAGATTTGTACTGGCCTTCGTATCGTCTTACGTTACGGATATTTACGGTAATTCTCTCGGCAACAAGTTAATGTTGTAGAAGCCTGCCAGATTGCGCATTTCCTGCAAACAGCCATTATTCCGCTATGCCCCATTCATTCATTGAGGGTTGGTCGGTAGTACATTTTTTATCTGCAGATGGATTAAAATCTGGCTAACTTTTTGTGCCAATTTCGTTCTTTCTATCTTTCACTAATTTCTGTCTATCTTCGGATTGTTGCCTCGGCCGGAAAATCTGTGGTTTGGTCAAGTAAATTGACTTGTGATCGTAGGCAGAAAATTTCTCTCAGAAAGAAACTTTTTTTTTGCAAATTTGTCTAGATCTAGAGAAATTATCAATGCGAAGATTCTACGGCACGTTAACGCGATATAACTTATAAGGGCCACTATGAAAGAAATGGTCTAAGACTACTGTACTAAAATCAAGAATAATTCGAAGTGGTGTTCTGAGGTTGTGACAGGCGACATTCAGACATGAAAATTTGAGGAAAAATTTGAGTATATGCTGGGCAACTGGTTTTTTTTTTTGTGGAGGTACATATATTTATTTTTTTCCCGGGTTTGCCTTCTATCAATGGTGCGACGACAAATTAATTGAATTATAGTAGCAATTAAAGAGAGTGACAAACATGCAAAAGAAGTAGAGGAATTATGACAATAGTAAGGATGAGGAAAGAAAAGCAGCATTTCCCCATTTGTTGTTCCGGCACAGTATGAGCACGACATTTATAAATCAGCCCTTTTACAATTCTACTGTGCATAAAAGAACATGTTAATATCCCCCCTTTGGGAATGGCCTTTTTCTCACCAATTTCACTCCCCTTAAACCGCAAATATCTCAACTTCTATTTAAGATAGATGGTTATTTCTTTCATTGAAAGCATGACAAATGAATAAGCTTTCAGCTAATATCAATTACTCCACAGCCCAAAAATTGAGTGCCAGATTCCACGGCGTTGTGACACACATATCTCTGCATTGTACTAAAACATATTTTTCTAATTTTTCACTTCCGCCCTGTTTGTCGTTTGTCCAGTATTCTTTTACCTTTTATTATATTCCTCTGATGTTTATTCATTTCTTGAAGGAATAATGACCTGAATACTGGTTTATCAGAGTGGCAAAAACATTTATGGAGATGCTTTTCAGGTGCTAGTACACATGTAGTTATTTGAGATTTAGAAAAAAAACTCTTTTCCTCTTCCATGTCAGCCCTTGGTGACTGACAGAGTGACTTGGGACATCACCATTGGAGGCGAAGAAATTGGAAGAATTGTTATTGGGGTCTTTAAAGATGTTGCTCCCATTACTGCCAAGAACTTCATTGAGCTGTCTTCTGGTGTTAATGGCTACGGCTATGCTGGAAGCTCATTCCACAGAGTCATCAAGGATTTCATGATTCAAGGTATGTGTAAAGTAATGCTGACTCACTGACTGTTTTTAATTACTTCATCAGTTGGCCAGCACACATTAAATTTTCTGGGTTCCAGTGACATTCATTTTTTTGTGTCTGTGGGCAGTGATGATAACCATCTGCAGTCGTTTAGTTGGAGTGGGTATTGGAAGGTTTTTGTCCTGCTCCTCATTTCACTCGTTCTGTCCCTATTTCTCTTCCACACGCAAAAATACACTTTATATTTTTCTGTCCCAAGGAAATGTGCCCTTCACTATATTTTTACCCCTATCCTCCCCCAACCCCTCATTCATTCTCCCCTCACGAAGAGGCATTCCCGTCTATTCTTCACCTTATTAATGTTGCCTGATTTTCGTCCTTTTATCTTCTTTTATTCTTTTTTGTTTGCTTGGTGACTGGAGTAGGAATTTGTAGCCCTTGATCCTAATTTTCAGTCTTCATCGTCTGAAAATACTTGTTTCGAGATAGGCAGCACTTAAGCTGTAGCTCACATACTTTATGTTTCAGTATTTGATAAATATTTACGATAAATATTTGAGATATAATAAAATCCCAAAAAGACATCTGAGTCTAAAATTGTAAGTTTTATATATATTGTTACCATGTTTTCTCATGAGAAGTGATTTCTTCACTTTCAGAAGTGTAAGGTGTTTTAGAAATCCAATTTGCATATATAGGCCTATTGTTTTACAATTTTTGATTATATTTGAGAGCTGAAAGTGTTGTCATGGGTGGTTGGCGGGTGCTCTGGTGTGGTTTGCTCCTTCTTTCCTATCAAACATCTATTATCCTGATGTCTTCGACTTCTTTTTTATGTCTGTTACTCTCTTGTAACACCTCTAATCTTTTGCACTTATATGACCTTGTTGTGTTGCAAGTGCCGTAAAACTCTTACTTAAACTAAAAAAAAGTGTTGTCCTCATCTTCCCAGGCTGAGGTAAAAAATTAAAATGCGTTGTTTGCCCCAATCAGGGGGTGATTACAGCAACAAAGACGGCTCCGGCATTAACAGCATCTACGGAGGCTACTTCGACGATGAGAACTTTGACCTGCAGCACTACGGTGCTGGGTGGGTCAGCATGGCCAATGCCGGTGAGTAGTGAAACAGGAAACTAGAACAGTTTGTGTGTGCGCGTGCGTGCGTGCGTGCATGCAGGGGGGTGTGTGTGGAGGTGTTCGTTGTTTTCCTTGGAGGATTATGATTTTGTTTGATCCTGAACTCATTTGTATGCAGTTATCTAGATGAGTGTTGGGGATGTCGATCTGGGAGATAAAACATTGTTGAATTTTATTCATTAAAAATTTTAGTTTAAATTATGACTGACTCTATACATACGGCCGGCATTGTGCTGAGAGTACTGAGAGATGTTGCCAAAATCAAACATGCTTGGTTTGTTAAAACATTTTTTTTTCTTACAATGAATTAAGTTGATTTTTGTGCTAATGGACATCAGATGTGCACTCTAGTGTATTGTTTCATTCGTGTTTCTACAAGTCTTTCAGGGGTGATTCGATGATGTCACTCTTCCGGAATGACTCAATGTCTTTTTTAAATATTAAAAAAAAGAAAAAAACTTTAAAAAAAAAAGGTTTTTCTTGATCCTCTTTAATCTGTTTCTTGCTTACTTAAAAAAAATAGCAGTAGGGTATTCAGTGATAGTAGTTTGTAGCTATAGTTCAATAACAGACCCCCGATGCAGTCATTAAAGGTGATTAAAGGGTGGTATGTGAACATCTACTCCCCAATGCGTGTAAAATATATATTTTTCTGTGTATTTTCCATGCTTTCTTTCTTCCTCTTGTCTGTTTTATAGTTTAATCTTCCTTTGAAATGTTCTATTGATGTCTCCTAAAGTGTCAACATTGTTCAGAAAAAGCAGTTTTTTAATTTCCCCATCTTTTAAAGGAAAATACTTTTAGCTTTGGTGTATTTCTTTGTGAAAGTTTGTTTTCCCTGTTCAAATCATTTCTCAAGTTTGGTCTTTGTTTTCTGACTCAAATAAATAGTGCATAGTTTAGACTGAAGGAAAAAACCCCCCTAGGATAGTCATGCAGTGATGAGAAGGTGAAAGAAAAAGAGGGCCTGCTAGTGGCACCTAGCAACCACCTGCTTGTTCCTGGTGAAATGTGGCATCTGTTGTCCGGACCCTGGGGTGCAGGTGCAGGTTGTAGTTTAACCCAGCTCTTCTTACTCTTGCTCGCTGGGGATTGGTGGGTGCTCTGGTGTGGTTTGGCTCCTTCTTTCTTCTTATCGAATGTCTATCGTCTTTATCTCCTTCTTCTTTTCTTTATGCAGACTTCAACATAAGTAAAGGACCACCTTGACAGACAGCCCTGATTTTTAAAAAATCAGAAAATGTTTTGCTCTGAAAGTGTTAATGGATTATACCAACGCATACTGCAAAGGTTCCAAAAGGGGCAAAACCACCGCATGCAGCACGGACATCGTCAGGGAATTTTAGCCAAATTTGCTGTTTTTAATCGACTTGTGTGCAACACCACGGACATTCCTCAATTAAAATTTCTGGTGCACGTCAAAAACAGACGTTGGTCTCGAACTATGCTCGCACTGGTGGCAATATAAGCTGCCGTTTGCTCAAAATCCAATATTGCATCAATATGCCACCAAGACGATAGCTGAGAGACTTTGATCGTGCCAGGGCTATAGCTTGGTTGCAGGTTGGATTTGGAATCTGAGAAGTTGCCAGAAGGCTTGCAGTGTCACACTCTGTCATTGTCCGCTTGAGGCAGAGCCATCAAGCCACTTGGTCAGTACAAGAACGCCCACGTGTGGGTCGACCCAATAAGACTGCTCAAGAGTGTTTGCAAGTGGTCCTTAACTATGTTGAAGTCTGTATGTCACTCTCAAGTAACACCTCTTATCTTCGGCACTTATATGATCTAATTCTGTTGCATGTGCTGTAAAACCCTTTTTGTTAAAACTCAAAGACTTGCTCTTAGAGTAGGCTGAACTGTACCCTGATTTTCTTCACAGGCAAGGACACAAATGGCTGCCAGTTTTTCATCACTCTGAAGGCCACCCCATGGCTGGATGGTCAGCACACTGTGTTCGGAAAGGTCCTGGAGGGCATGGATGTTGTCTACCAGATCGGTGACACCGACACCACTGCTACAGATGGTCCAGTTGAACCTGTTGTCATCGCCCGCTCCTCAGCTGAAAAGGCAACCGATGCTCTCTATGTTGAGCTTGCTAGTGCTGAGTAGATGTGACTCCCTCAAGGGAGGAACTGTCCGGTTTGCATTGTTCAATTCCATTTTTTTTTCTTCTTTACCTGTCGGAGGTTTGTTGAAGGTGTATTCAGAAACTTTTGGTTATGAGTCTGTACAAACAGATACAGTGTGGCAGTAAGTTACACAGTGAGCAGAAAGTAGCTCATAATAGTCATGTCTACAGGATTTGAGAGATTTTCTCTTATGTTTGGGTTTGGCTTGAAAGACTCGCTGTAAAAAAAAATCCCTCTATAGTTTGAGTTCAACTGTAAGGCTGTTGACTTACACTTACAATGATTAGTAAAAATTTCTCGTTTTTCATTGTGAGGGAAAGAGTTTGACAAGACTCGTGGTTGGGATTTTTTTTTGGTCATTTGTGTCTCTGCTGATCACCATGCTGTTATTAAATATTGTGATGAGGAATTGGTGAAAATGTTTGATGGAAGGTGTGATGTGCTTGTTACATGTCGATGTGCGAGAGGTGTGACAAGGGTGAAAAGTCAGAAAATAATAAGTATTTTGTGCATTTGTGATATAGACAGATGCTACAACTGCTACTTACATCAAAGATGCCACATTTTTGTGAACATGTGTACTGCCAGCAAATGATCTTCCAAACTCCAGGAATGGTCTATGAAATCATGTGTAGTGACATTTTGGTTCTCTCAAGATCATTGATTTCATTCATTTAGCCCCGATTTCCAGAGAGGCTGTGTTTGATTTTACAGAATACAATTTCTTTTTTGGGATGGAATTTTGATTTCATCCTTTGGAGGAAATCTGGCGATTGGAGTGAACGGGAGGGCCTTATTCCACTCAGGGAAAGTTGGGCTCATTTGGGGAGGGAGGGAGGGGGGCACTTTTTTGTCTGGATTCATGGATAGAGTGAGATAGATAGAGATAGTGAGATAGAGAGAGAGAGAGAGAGAGAGAGAGAGAGAGAGAGAGAGAGAGAGAGAGGATGCAAAAGAACGGTATGTTTTATGTTTTCATCATCTGTGTCATATTTTATACTTCTACGAGTAAAGATTGACACCTAATTTACTTCACTTCCAAAGCGTAGTATTGCTGCAAGAGCATACTTCATATCTTATTCTTTCTAGTACTGTTTTGACCAACAGTTTTCAAACTTGGCCGCACAAAGGAGACTTTTTTTTTCGGGTTCCAATGCATTGTATAATATATATTCAGTTGTCATAGTTGCTTTGTGAATTGGAGTTATGCAAGTGTTGCATGTTCTTTTTACACTGTTTTTGACTATGTATGAATGTAGTTTGTGTGAAAGAACTGTTACGCCACCAAAAGTCATTTGGTCATATGTTGGTACTTATGTTTGTGAAGGCATTAAGAATCCAAAACTTAAAAAAGTTTTAGCCCTGATATTAAAATTGTTAATTGTTATGCAGCAGTGAAGAAAGAAACATTGCTTTTTATCATGTTCTTTAGGTTGTATTCACTGGTTCATACCCAGTTTCACAATGGTGCTATTTTACTTTCCACTTTATGTACACATGAGATCTGATCTGCTGCTTTATCAACTTGAATGTTACTGTTTCTGCCAACGAACTCTTTGATACACAAAAATAGACACAGTTTCTTTGCCTTATTATGCATTATATCAAGATCAGTATGCATGTTTTGTGCCCTTTTTTAAAAAAGCTTTAAAGTTTATGACATTATTTTAAAGTTTTTGTATGAAACTATATCAAAATTTTTAGTGCTATGTGGCGATATCATATTGTGGTACAAGCGTATCATTTTTCCAGGCAGCACTTTTCTGAGAGAATGTGTTAATTACCTGTATTTTGGATGCATTTTTTATTTAAAAAAAATTGAAATCAAAATGTGAAAATCAAATAAAGGCTATCTATACAGTAAATAGTGGATTGTATTTTTGTTTGCTTTATATGTTAATACAGTGGAATCCTCTCAAAAGGAAAATTTTTTCTTGTGCAACCTCTTTCAGTAACTGCAATTTAAGCTGCAGGCTGTGTGCCTTGTGCTTTCTCTTCAGCCTTGACAGCTTTCTTACTCTGCCTAACAGTCACACAGAACAGAAGGTAGAGTAGGTAGAGATGTGAGAAATAAAGCCCAATGCCAGTGACGTCATGAAACTGACCACTTGCTGTGACTGCACATGTGTAGGGCCTATATAATTAGTCAACCATCTTGACGTTGTTATTGATGTAACAGCTATTATTAATGATTCACTCCTTTCAGGAACAGTGCCTTCGTGTTTTAAGCACGCAGTCGTAACACCTCTACTAAAGAAACATTCGTTGTCCCCTTATGAGTTTAAGAACTATAGGCCGGTCTCTAAACCTACCATTTTTGTCTAAAATTTTAGAAAAAGTTGTTCAATCTCAATTAAGAGCACATCTTGAAGTAAATAATCTTTTTTTTAGAATGTTATCAGTCGGCCTACAGAGCGTTTCATAACACAAAGACTGCCCTTTTAAAAGTCCAGAATGACCTCCTTTGTGAAGCAAACGAAGGCAAAGTGTCTGTTCTTGCCTTACTCGATCTAAGTGCTGCATTTGATACCATCGATCATTCAATTTTGATAAGGAGGTTAGGCCATAGCTTCGGCTTATCTGGGACTGTTCTTGAATGGTTTGAGTCCTATTTGTTTAATCGTACACAGTCTATACTTGTAAATGGTGAAATGTCATCCATTTTCAGCTTGCAATTTGGCGTGCCCCAAGGGTCCGTGCTCGGACCACTTTTATACACACTATACATACAAAGCCCTTAGGCTCAATAATTAGGAAGCACGACGTTAACTACCACATGTACGCGGACGACACTCAGCTGTACAAGTCTGTTTTACCAACAAATTTCAATTGTCTAGTTACCAGCATGGAACATTGTATTGTGGAGGTAAAAAAAATGGATGATATCAAACAGACAAAATGAATGATGATAAGACCGAAGTTCTGTTTTGCAATGCCAAACCAGGGATATTGCTTTGCAATTTTGACCATATATGTATTGGGAATGATAACATCTTTTTCACAGATAAAGCGAAAAACCTAGGCGTTTATTTTGACTGCAAACTCTCCATGCACCATCATATAAACCATCTATGTAAGGTAATTTATCTAGAGCTACGCAGAATAGGACAAATTTCAACATATTTTAGTGTTGATTCCATCAAAACCCTCATCTCTTCTTTTGTTCTTTCACGTCTAGACTACTGCAATTTTTTGTTTGGAAACCTTCCCACTGAAACATTAAAAAGATTACAGCGACTCCAGAACCAAGCTGCTCGCATAATTTAAAAACAATTTTGAGCATATAACACCAATGCTAGTTCAACTATATTGGATCCCGCTGAAAGCACAAATTCAGTACAAAATAATTGTTCTTTGTTTTAAGTGCGTCAACAAAATTGCACCATCATATCTTTGTGACATGGTCATCGAATAATACCATCTCGGCCTTTAAGATCGGCGATGAAAAGTTTTTTAAGACCTGTCCAAAGCAAAAGTCAGAGACTCGGAGGGAGAGCTTTTTCACACCACGCTCCCTCCTTAAGGAACGCTTTACCAGCTCATCTACGGGAGTCCCCCACTTTATCAAAATTTAAATCAGCACTTAAAACGCATTTGTTTCAGTCCAGCTTCAATCTGTAATTTCCTACATTCCCAATACAAATATTATTATATTCTCTCAGTATCTATTATGTTCTCTCAGTATCGTTTATTCATGCTGTTCTGTTCTGTAAGAATTTATGACTGTGTGAATTCATCAATGTGTGCGAATGTGTCTGGGTAAGCTTTGTGGGTTTGTCTTTACTCAAGGATGTAATGGGGAGGGAGAGATAGAGAGAGAGAGAGAGAGAGAGAGAGA